TGAAGCAGTACAGTATAAGAACATGCCTAAAAGAAACATTTATAATGCCCCGATTATATCAGTACATGAAGCATTGTCTTCTTAAAAAAGGAGAAGGATCTTTAATTGTGTTGAAGATACATTGGGCTCATTGTGTTCTGTCAGCGAAATGAATTTGAATTTGATTTTAAGCAGCTGAGGTCAGGAAATTGCAAACTAAAAAAAGCTAAATCTAACCTAAATGTAACTTCTCATCAGTTACCAGCGACACTATCCCTTTATACATATACGGGCGCAATACACATTAAATTTGCAGGGAATAATCTTGATTATAACTACTCTGACAAATTGCCATGGAATCAACTCCACCCCACATAATTCATATTTACATCCCTTAAAAATCTATGCCATAAAGATATTGATGTGTCTAGGCCAATCAACCTATATCGGACATCACCCCAACCCTACACACCAAGCAGACCCTGCTCTACTAACTAGACTGAGAATTTCAATCCACTAGGAAGTTAGACATGATGGCGTCCTCCAAAGCAGAAACAACTGTCCTAAGGCATACCCAGAGGCCTCATATTCAATATCAGATGTAGTGCTCATATGAAAGAGACCTCTGATATCGCCAAGGCCTTCAATGTGAAGTCATCAGCCCCAAAATTATATGTATTTGGCATGTATCTGAAGATAGAAATTCAAGAAGGGGCCATATGCCCTTTAGAGGGTCCTTTACACAATAATTTTTGTGTCATTGTATTCCTTGAAATTTACTTATAAAATTGGCAAAACATTTGTTCTTTTTCTCACCTCTCTCTTAAGTTAATCCTGTGGCAACAATCTTCTCACTGAGCACTGAATGAAGGAAGGCTTATGAAGGCAGGCACGCCAAGGAGGATTTCACTGAGGAGACAACCCCATATGGACTTTAGGATTTGGAGTAGATCCTCAAATCAGCAGAAAGGATTACCTTACATTGTAAGTACAACATAATTTCAAAGAAGTTAATATTTTACAGGTAATCTTGATCTAACAACTTACAACCAGAACAACGGCAACGTCAAAGCGTAGCGAATCCCATCGAACATTTTTCAAAAGGGGCACCTTCTACCAAAAGTGTCATTAGACAGTGTGCCATGCTTATAATATTCACATACCAAATGTGAACAAAATCACTCTACTACTTTTCGAGTTATAGTAAAATACGTTAAAATGGTGGCCATTTTGAAAAATGGCCGCCTTCTACCTAAAGTCTCATTAGACAGTGTGCCATGCTTATAGTATTCACATACCAAATCTGAACAAAATCGCTCCACTACTTTTCGAGTTATAGTAAAATACGTTAAAATGGCAACTATTTTGAAAAATGGCCACCTTCTACCAAAAGTGTCATTAGACAGTGTGCCATGCTTATACGTATTCACGTACCAAATATGAACAAAATCGCTCCACTACTTTTCCAGTTATAGTAAAATAAGTTAAAATGGCAGCCATTTTTCAAAATGTCCGCCATTTTTCAAAATGGCCACCTTCTACCTCATTAGACAGTGTGCCATGCTTACAGTATTCACATACCGAATATGAACAAAATCGCTCCACTACTTTTCGAGTTATAGTAAAATACTTTAAAATGGCGGCCATTTTGAAAAATGACCACCCTCTACCAAAAGTGTCATTAGGCAGTGTGCCATGCTTATACGTATTCACATACCAAATATGAACAAAATCGCTCCACTACTTATCGAGTTTTAGTAAAATAAGTTAAAAATGGCGGCCATTTTTCAAAATGGCCGCCTTCTACCAAAAGTGTCATTAGACAGTGTGCCATGCTTATAGTATTCACATACCAAATATGAACAAAATCGCTCCACTACTTTTCGAGTTACAGCAAAAATCGTAAAATAACGAGTAAAGGCCGCCATTTTTCAAGATGGCTGCCATGTGCTTTTTTAATATCTACATTTCTAGCTTTATTAATGTCCTATATAATTTTTTACATTTAAAACATATTGCTATTACAGTTTTACATATTGCACCTAAATTACTGTAAAATCGGCACTAAAATGGCTGCCATTTTTAAATGAGCGGCCATTTTGAAAATCGGCTTTTGAGCAGAACTTCTACCCCCATAGGGTATATGTGTACAAAATATAAATAAAATCGGGCCAACGGTATTTGAGTAATTGCCCGGACGGACGGACGGACGGACGTACGCACGTACGGACGGACGAACGGACGTACGTACGTACGAACGGAGGCGTTCCCTATATCCCTCCGAACTTCGTTCGATGGGATAATAAGATAGCAATATCCAGGTGGATGATTGTATACATGTACAGTAGATCTACATTGATAAATCAGGAGATATTTTGGAGTACATTTGTTTTTATTTTAGTTTATGATATAAATTTTACAGATAAAGACTGTTGTTTTTATTCTTGTTTGTGATATAACTTTGACAGATAAAGACTGTATTTGATCAAATAGTTTTTAGCAAAGTGTGCAAACCTAGGTTGGTTTTGCAAGTATCGACATGAAGCTCAAAATAAAGCTGGCTGGGCATTCTATTGTTAGACGTCTATTTCAAAGTGATCAGTTAGACCCAAAGGAAGCAGCTCAAAAAATTGTTCAATTAGCTTTTGATTACCTGGAGAAATTTCCCATGTGCAAGCGAGTATACATAGGCCAAATACTTTTGACATTTCCATCCGCATAAATACAACATTAACAATGAGAAACAAGCAGAAATTCACAATATCAATGTGGCAGCCTGCAATCATCACATTAAATAATAATTAACTAAAGTTAACAAACATGTCATGTATTACAAGCACAAGGATTTAAATGACCACAAAAATCAGCATACCAAGGTTTTAGCGTTACCTAATGATCCAGTGCATTTGAATCAGACAGGCAACAAAAGGTTAATGAAAAGCTGGAGAGGTATGGCCATCAAGTGCCTAGATGACATACAAGATGGTACTCTATGAAGTTAGGAGTAAGTAGAAGGTTGCATTAATTTAATCAACTTCTTATTAATTTAAGTTAACGAATAACAGAGGCGACCATACAGGGAGTGGTAACTAACTTGCAGCCTTACTATCTTATTTTGCACCCTAGTATTTTATTTTAGTACTTCAATTATGTTTGAATCGTTTTAGGCTGGGCGTTTTTTGGTTGTTTTATACTGGTTGTTGGATGGTATTCATAACCTGTTATGTTACAGAGTAAACAATATGTTGTGATATACATACTTTTGTATTTTAATATGTTATTATTTGTACACCATTTATGGGCAAGTCTCGCATATGCTCAAAATTTTGAATTTTTATGGACCAAATGTAATATATGACTTTGAACTTCTTTAAAAAGAAATTCAAAATATATCAGGTCAGCCAGGTGGCATGACAGTTACGCAAATGTTACCCAATGGCTCTGGTTCAGTGGAAATATTCAATCTCCAAAAGGACACTGTCATGTTATCGTCTATGTTCATGTTCCCGGGATTACAATTTATAATTGTTAATATACTTTTGTTCATTGTAACACTATGTGAAACGTGAGAGATGTGCATGCACTCGCACATGCTTGGGACTTCTGGTGGAAATGAATAATCCTTGAAAACTTTATGTTCTGTGTATTGTGCCATTTGTATCGCCCACTAAACGTGTTTGTATAAAACATGACATGATATCAGTCGTAGGATTACCTGATCTAGGAAATATGTAAATAAGGACTCTATAGAAACTGTAATAACTGCATAATGGCTGCCAATCTAATTCCACCGACGAAAAGATTCGACTTCACTCAACCCCAAGAATTTAATACTTGGGAAGAATGATTTACGAGGTACCGTACTGCTTCCAAATTACATAAGGATGACGAAGAAGTTCAAATGTCAACGTTACTTTACATCATGGGAGAACAATCGGAAGCTATATTTAAGTCATTCAAACTTTCAGATGAACAGTGAAAATCACCTGATGTCATCACCTGACTTATTCATTACAAAATAAATATAATGTACTACACTACACTACACTGTACTGCACTACATTAAGTCTAAGTTATCATAATATCATGTCATTAATGCAGAAACTATTAGAAAATAAATAAAATAGTCAAATAAATGTATGTAATGAATGGTTCTTTTTGAACTTCAATTGAACTATTATTCAGTTATCATCGTTTTATATATATAAATATTTATTTCAGTTAGATTTGTTCCACGCCGTTCAAAGAAGCATGAAGGAAATAAAAAGGATCACCATTTAGAAGAGATATCGCAAGGGATTTATTTTCAGAAATCACAGTGATGTAGGGAAAATGAGGACAATGGCAACACCGGCAAAGGAAATACTGATGAGGAATCTTGACCTTTTCGTAAAAAAGTACAACAACATCAAAACTTCCAATAACATTTCGGTTAAGCGCTTGGTTTATGTTATCAATCAAAAATTTAAGAAAACATATCAAAAAGGGTTGTCTGTCAAACATTCCAGTTAAAGGGTCCATTTCAAGAAATGAAAGACTCCACCGTAGATTAAGATATTTAATGAAATCAGATACTAAAATTGCATCGCATACAGCGCATGCAGTTATGTCAGTTATCATCGATAAAATAAATGGATTGAACACATATACAATGAGGTACACGTTGGGAAAAGAAGGAAACAGTCAAGAAATGGACTTCAAAGAAATAACGTTTGGCCTTCGACTAACAGACTCTTGTATAGACAATGATGATATTCTTCAGCCTGTGTGCCTTTTAAAAAATTTTGAAAATCTCCAGGGAAAAGATCACAACTTGTCCAATCATTCATACGCTGAGTATTACAGAGATTCGATAAAATCAATAAGTATTAAAACAACAATAAATGAATGGATTATAAGTCAAAGGTTGAGAACATTGTCTATAGCTAATGTAATATCAAATGATCAAATTCCATTTATTGTCAACGCCACAAGGGGGGAACAAGTGAAGGCTTCAACCAGTAGTCCGACAGTGTTACAGAGACAGTAGGAAATGGAAACTGCTTATTTGAAAAGTTACCACACCAAATAATATTATTATTAAGTTCAACAAATAACAATAGGTTAACAGAGCATTTCAATATGTTAATCAACAACACAGAATTTACTATAGAACAGCTAACAGAACTATTAAGAAAGATAATAATACAATACATGAAAGATAACAAAAATAAGATCATGGAAAGAATAGGTGTCAACAAGAATTCATTTAATGAGATGATTAATGAGTTACAGCAAAATTACACTTTTGATAATAATTTGGCCGATACTATTCCCCTTACAGCACTGGCAAATATTTTCAAAGTACAATTAACAATATCAACCGATTTGGTAAACAATCCCATCATTTTTATTACTCCAGAAGACATTACACCATTTAAATTTGAAAATCTCAATGGAAAAGACGACAACTTGTCCAATCATTCATACGCTGAGTTTTACAGAGATTCAATAAGATCAATAAGTATTAAAACAATAAATGAATGGATCATAAGTCAAAGGTTGCAAACATTGTCTACGGTTAATGTAATATCATATGATCAAATTCCTTTTATTGTCAACGCAACAATGGGAGAAAGAGTGAAGGCTTCAACCAGTAGTCGGACAGTGTTTGAGAGAAGTATGGCAGGCTTCCATGTACTATCACATGGGACAATAGGAAATGGAAACTGCTTATTTGAAGCGTTAGCCCATGAAATATTATTATTATTAAGTTCAACAAATAACAATAGGTTAAGAGAGCAATTCAATACTCTAAACATAAACACAGACTTGAGTAAAGAAGATCTAACAGCACTATTAAGAAAGATAGTAATACAATACATGAAAGATAACAAAAATAAGATCATGGAAAGTATAGGTGTCAACGAGAATTCATTTAATGAGATGATTAATGAGTATTACAGCAAAATTACACTTTTGATAATGATTTGGCGGATACTATTCCCCTTACAGTGGCAAATTTTTTCAATGTACAATTAACAATATCAACCAATTTGGTAAACAATCCCATCATTTTTATTACTCCCGAAGACAAACCTCTTCAGTACCATCCAAGAAAGACATGCTTACAACACCCGAAATAGGGTAAACTATGACAAACCCAAAATTCGAACAAATTATGGTAAAGCCTTGATATCTTTTACTGCACCATCAATTTGGAATTCATTACCTATTGAAATAACATCATCTGGAAGTATTTTTATTATGAAAAAAGAATTGAAAAAATATTTTATCAATCAATAATATCAATTTCAGATAACCATAGTGGGCATTATAAGACACATTCTTAGTCAGACATAGATAGTAGCATTCATCACACAAGCAGATCCCCAATCTGTACATTTCATGATTATAAACACGGGAATATACACGAGAAGTGTCACCCGTTTACTGTACATTTGATGTTGAAATATATATGAATAAATAAATAAATAAATTACCATATAAAAATCTTGATCCCAAAAGTTTCGCCATGCAAACTAAAAAAGATATAATGCCTGTAAAGTGAACGATTTGCTCGGAAATTTGTGTTTCTTGCCTGTTTTGTATATTTTATAGTTTCCGTTGTGGTGCGTCAATTCAGATGAAATTTGTTACATCTTATTAGTTAGGCTTTGTAGAACATTTCGCTCGTGTTTTAGTGTTGGAGGTTGTTGGTAAGAACACGAATTCGACGATAATGTTCCATTTTTGGTGTCTTCGAACTGTGATTTCGTGCAATAATTGTTTCTGTTGACAATGTTCCTGTCAGGTAACATTGTAAATGGTGTCATTCTGTAGCGGTGGTTTGTAGCTACATTTTGATGCATAGTTTTATATGTTTTGATATGGGTTTGGTGGTGTATGCGAATGTTTTGGTTGATAAACAAACACAGTTTGGCGCCGTGGGTTATGGCATTGAGATACATGTACGCAATTGATGGATCCTGAATTTAGAAATACAAAATTATGTCATCCTTTAACGCTTTCCTATCCGTTGGAGTCTGGTCTCTGTATCTGTCTTCAGTAAACCTAAAATAAGAATACTGCAATGTTCCATGGTGGCGTTTTTTAATTACAGGTCGTGTAGACCATTCTTGCTTGACTAGCAAAACATTGACTTTCGGACGTTTGCGGCATTTCGCCTTTTACATCATATACTTTAATCCTAGAATACTTACAATATTTTACCATACCGTAAGCCTATTCATTTGGCCATTCAATCGTAAACTAAATTTTGTCTTGAAAAAGTAAATTTTCCAGATTTGTTGAAATTTCTACCAGAATTTGTCTGCTCCCCCTCCGTCCAATTTCTACGATCATCAGCCATGGGATTGAATAGAAACTCACTCCATGTCAAAATACAAATGGCTACAACCAATAACAACAGTCAATAACATTTAGATATCTTATAACAACAGACAGGGCCGTCCATATATTCATCCCATTGAGTTAGCTTCATTCCCCGTTTCAGTTAGCTTCATTCCTACGTCATCACTAACTTCAGTTAGAGTCATTCTAAGTGAAGCCGTTTTCTTTCAATTTTTCTAATATCGCAGGTGCGTGAGCCTTTATTTGTGGTTGTTTACAATCATATCTTTATTAGTTTGCATGGCGAAACTTTTGGGATCAAGATTCAGCTTTGTTTGGCTGTAATTGGAGATTTATCGAAAACGAACGAATTTTGTCCACCATCTTGAATAAGCTAACTGCAGTTAGAGTCATCCAGTTGTGGAACAGTGAATATAATTAAGTCCATAAAGTTCTAATTTCAGCTGTGGTTTACACATGTAAAATGTGATCATTTTCATTTGTTAATGCAGAGTAAGACTTCAACAAATTTGGGTATATAATAATTACCCTACCACGTGACCATGTTTAAAAGGAAAACAGGGTACAGTTAAGTTGTAAATGGAGGACGTGGGTTTAACCTCTTTGGTGCCGTTATGACATATATGTCGTTTCCCGTCTTCGTGCCATTACGACATTTATGCCGTTTCAACGTGAGAATTTCTTGAAATGCAGACCTTTGATTTTATATGCTTATTTATTTTTTGTTTTATCAACCAATCTGTTTTTGTATGTTTCTAATCGAGAAAAGGGGACATGCCATTAAGAGGCCATTCTCTGACTTAGTCATTTTTTCAAAAGTGTGAAAATAAAAAAATTCATGAAAAGTTCCTAAAATATTCTGAATAACAAGTTGAATATATATATTTAATGATGGCACAAGCAAAAGTCTGAAAATTAACATGAAATGAAGGGTTTTGACAGATGCAAAAGATGGTAGATTTGTGATGAAGAAATAGAAGTTTTTGCAGTAACAACACAATTACCTCGAAGTTATCCGTTATGAGAGGCTGAGGACTAAACTTGACATAATTTTCAATCTCAGATTATCAGTAGTATCTAACTTAAGCCGGACAGCCACTCAAAATGTATATGGAGCCCATAAGATTCATTTTTCTCAATTGAAGTCACTATTTCTGTTTTTAGCTTCAGAGGATAGGAGGTACATGAACATGCTAAGTTTACCTAGATCACAAGCCTTACCACAAATATAAAGTATATAGGAATAGAGTTGATATGTGTGAAAACCTTAAACTTCTCATTTTATTGGGGATGGAACTTGTGGACCATGTGTATTTCTAACTTCTTCACATGTACATGGATCTAAAATTGTGGCAGCCATCTTGGATTTGTCATATTATGTGGACATGGTTTTGGTTGTGCTGAATTTGTTTCAAAATAACATTTCTTGTATACCTTCGATAAGTGAGATAGGCATTTGAAATTAAATACAGATAGTATACTTGACATTTAATGCGGTAAACAGTAATACAATTCATTCTTACATAATAAGTGAGTCCAGACAAAAAGTTGTTATTGTGTTAGTTTAACTGGGCATAAATTACACTCATTGGCCTTGGTTTTCTTAATTGGCTTGGATAAAATGTTGTTCTGTTTATTCAGAAAAGGAGTATAGTTCAATATACAAGTTCACATTCGTTCCATCCTCTTGTAGAAAGAATCTCATATTATTTCATCTCAAATATAGAACACAAAAATATAATAAAAAACAAGTTTCTATTAATTGCAAAAGTTAGCTTCTATGTCATGACTGAGTTTGGGTTCCGCTTCTAGGGAAAAAATATTCATCTGGAAATATCGTATTGACCATTGCTATACACTCCATATTTAATCCTCCCAGTAAATAACATTGATATACAGTACGTACAAGTATACAGGGTGTCAAATAAGTCCCGTCCCCCCTGCTACAGCTAAAACCTTAACAGAAGGTACCTAGTGTGATATACCATTGGAAAGATCATCCAAAGTTATTTTAACCCACCAACTCTCAATTATTTAGGATGAAATTTACCTATATTTTTATGATGTCTTTTAAAATTAACGTGCCCTCCTTTAAGTAGCTTTTTTGCGTCAAAATGAGAGGATATGACCTCAGAAATACATCAAAAAGTTAATCTTTTTCAGATTCCAATTGTTACAAAAAGGTTTTCACCACTTTCCTTGCACCTCTATTTTCTACACATCTAACCCTATCCAGAAATAGGTTAAATTCATCGCCATAAACATATTTAGTCATATTTTGGTCCCGTGACCTTTCTTATACACGATTCTTATAATCGTGTCAAATACGCCAAATGCCATGTTTCTAGGCATATGGTCACCTCAATTGATACAATGTAAAAATTTCTGAGATTGATTGACATGTGTCAGATATATGCCAATCAACGTAACTTTGGAAGACCTTTCCAATGATATATCACACTTGGTACCAAATATCTTGGTTTTGGCTGTAGAGGGGGGGACGGGACTTATTTGACACCCTGTATATGACATCGAGGATCTGGGGTTTGGGTAATGTGAGACATGAGGCCACTTGTCTTTTTGAATCTCATATTCAATATTCTTTCTTTAAACCCTCATATTTAATATTTTTGGAGTGGTAATTCAATTATGTACCTATTTTTTATTCTTTATCCCATAGTTGAACTCTGTTCCACTCTGTTAGGTAACATGAAAACATATTTATGATATTTTGCAAATGCGTGGAAAAAGTGATATCTGTGGAATACGGAAAATATTTCACAGATATCACCTTTTGGCAGGGATTTGAAAACTACCACCAATATGATGTGTTTTGTTACATATTGATTTCATGACATCACGGGGATGAATGAATGAATGGATGTTGTTTTGATATGCTTTGTTTAGTTTTAGAGGTGAACTATGGGAAAAATAGAACATCCTATGAATTTTCGTGATATTGTGTTAATCCAACTCATTGATATCAATATCTGCGCTAATTCGCTATGCTAACTTGGCAAGATATTGATATCAACTCGGAGATAAAGATAAAATCATTTAAAATCATATGATATCCTACACATATCCTTTACTGTGCCACAACTTTCTCATATGTTATATATTTTGGCACAGGCCATCATTTATTTTCCTTGAATTCATGCTTTTGTTCCTCGTTTTAGAAATGAGAGGAAATCTTTGATTTTCCTTGTATTTAAGTTGCTTAAATGTTGCCCTGTGATGTTGATAAAAGTCAATAGTAATCCATTACAGTCACAATTGAAATGTACCCATTGCTAGCCCAGAACCTACCAAAATAGCATTTGCATTTTGTCAATATTGCCCTATGTGCTTTTCCATGAAAATAATTTTAATCGTATCTTTTCTTCAGTATTTCATATATTACATTTTAATATATTTATATTGGTTAATATTTATATACTATTTACTTAAACAACAATAAATAAAGAATATTTTGTAAAAACACCAAAAATGGTATATGATCTTTAAATGACTGTTGTTTGAACATCAAAGGTCAAAATTCGCTGAAATTGTATTTTTATAAAGCACAAATGATTTTTCTTCAATATGATATGCATTATTATCAGATATCTTTGGGGGCTAAAAAGGGCCCTTAATGACACCCGTCCTTTATGATTTTACCACCCAAAACTGAATTTTTAACATTTGGTTAAGTTAATGATTACCTTTTTAACAGTTGAACACCTAATAAGGTGCAATTACATCATGCATTACAATCATGCACTAAAATGTATATTATACACATTTAAGAAATGTTAAAAATCCTAGCAAATAATGATTCTTACTTCATTATATTTTCAAAAAATGACAATAAATGCTATGGTAGATCTTTATTTTATATTATTGATTATAAAGAACAGATCATCCTTTCAATTTTGCAGGATGATCCAGAAAACGAATGCAAGGGGTACTGAAGTTCGGAAATCAGAAATGGTGCAACGCTATAATCATTCAATGGGAGGTGTTGACAGGGGTGATCAAATGCTAGCTCCTTTCAACCCACACATAAGATCTGTTAAGCTGTGGAAGAAACTCCTCATCAACTGTTTGTTGAAAGTTACAGGTACTAGAATTGTATAAATATCGCAATTAGTCTCATATTCAGCAATGTTTCACAATCACACACTGAAGGTATAATTTGGACTTACAAAGTGTGAGGATTCATCCACAACATAACTAGTGTGCATTTCATTTATATAAGAGTGACTTAGATGGGCAAAAATAGATCAACCAATGACGACGGGTTGACTTTTAGGCTAGAGTAAAGGAAGTAAATGTTTCTTATGGCCTCTCTCTTATTATTTAAAAAATGAAGCAATGTCTGGTATATATAAAGTCAGTGACATTAGTAAAATCAGTAAAAAGGATAAAATGAGTAAATTCAATAAAGTCATGCGAATTCTATAAAGACTATCATAAAATTCAAGTCCCATCACAATTTAAAAAAAAAAGAGAAACACATATTTTTCATATCGTGGTCTTACACCGTTAAAAATAGCAAACATTGTATAGTTAATTTTACTCTGCTACTCTTACTCTTAAATTAAAGTGCTGCTTACTACAGACAAATTTATTTGCATGACATCCATTGCATATTTTCGCACATTTTGTTCATTTTGCTTTCAGTAAACTCCTACATTGTCTACAAGACAGTTGGTGGTCGGTTGGACCATAGATCCTTCCACAATGCCCTCAATCATGACCTGGTGGGGGACTACCAAAAAGAAACAGTGATAGGGTGGCCAAGGTCCATGTATGTTGAGGCAAGGAACCCTAGGTTGGTCTCAAGGTGCTTCCCTGATCTTATACCTGGTAAGCATTCAACAGGTTCACACTAAGTTGCTAAATAAAGTTTCAAGGCAAAGAGTATTATATTGACTGAAGTGTATGAATAATGAAAAATATTAAATAATCGAATAAATAGAAGATGCATTGATTTGGAGTTTACAGAGTGTATCATAGAACCTGATTACCTGGAATAATTCATATTGTAGTCAGTATTTAAACAAAAATATATAATATAATAATTCCTCCATGAAATGGGCCTGATGTTATAATGTCATTAATAATCATTGGTAATTGTATACTGTGCTTCAGATGGCAAGAGAAAGATATGTGCAGTGTGTACCAAGCGTCCTCATCACAACAAGCCCTACGCAGGCACAAGAAGCCGCTATTGGTGCCCTGACTGCAGAGTTGGACTTTGCATTACTCCATGCTTCAGGCGCTTTCACACATTGGTGAATTACACTCCAGCAATACCAGCTCCCAGCTCCAAGAGAGGAAGAATAAGTGCCATACATGCATTGTTTAAATCATGAGCTTTCAATGTAGTACCATATTGTGCATGTAGCTAGTGACAAGGGAATTTAGTAATACCGTGCTATGTTATTTCCCCCGAATCAGCCACCTGGTGGCGAGACTGGTAACTACCTACTCACATCTGAGTAATTGACAAGATGCAAGTAGATATAATCTTGATTTACTCCATCAAAAATTTATAGTCAAAGTGATCCAGTCAAAGTGATATCATAGTTAAAATCTACATGTAAGATTACATCTAGAAATGAGGTTTTATAAAGTTTCATCAACTTTGAAAATTCAATTTGACATTCTGCATAGATCCCATGTTATAAAATCACAAAAGTGAAAAGCAATCTAACTGGATCATAAGAATGGCGTGAAAAAGTAGTTTTTAAAAGTTTGAAATCGCATGGATGGATCCGCCGGCAGTCACTCGGGATAGTAAACCATGGGTGGATACACTCGCTGACAGCATGCTAAAGGTTAAAATATGAAAAACTAGTATCTTACCTTCCAACTTATCTTTGAAGTCATTACCATGGCTCGATATTGCGATGCAACGTGGGCGAATGTTGAAACATCTGCATCTCCAAAATCGGAAGGCATTGTTTTGGTCTTGTTTTGTGATTCCTGCATTTGTTAGTTTGAAGCAGTACTCGATGCCCTCTAAAAATTGATTTGATGAATTAATTCATTTTGTCTCAACAGAATATTTCGTAAGTAGCGAACAATTATCCCTCTCTATTCCATAATTATAAGGGGATGGAATGTTTATTTCGTTGTTTTATTTTTTTTGTCACTTCCTGTTTCGTCATTTCCTGTTAAGTATCATGGCACATTAAGGTGTCACTACGGTAAATCATTCTGAAAAATATTGAAAAAAATCACAAAATTCAAGTTCTGGGGTACATATCGCCCTTTTCTAATGAACTAGCCCATACAATGACTATATTTCTGCGTTCCCCTGTACATAACCTTCATCTTGACACTATATTTAACATAGGGTTTGCATCTCGATTTTTAAATATCATTACGCCAACATAAGGACTCATTTTTAGGTAAAATCCCAGCTTCACCAGTGAAAATTAACGAATAAAGTAGTTCCAGTTTACAGGACTATATTCTTGCGATTTTTTTCTTAAAATGGCACATTTAGAAAGTACTTGGCTTCAGCTTTACATACATACCTCAAATGGCCACATTGCATACACTTAAACCTGCTATACACACCATTGAAGTTGGCATGGCTTCGTTTTTAAAGTATTAAAAAACACTGTCCTACCCGGAAGTGCTATTTACCGGAGTGACACCTTAAGGTATGGTGCTAGTTAACAGGAAATGACAAAAAAAGACAAAACCATGCTGGATTTTCAAAATATTTTGTACCAATATAACAGAGTTCTGTTTTGACCTCCAGTCAGTTTAACTAGTTCCACATATATCATTTACATGACCAGGAACACAATAGTCAGAAACCCATGCCTCTCTATCGTTTCAAAAAATTTACCCAACGTATCGGTCTCTGTTAATTTATGGCATCCATACTTTTTTGAAAGGTAACACCTTGAGGTTCAATTTTCTGCCGGATGCCCTTGCAAACTCTCATTGGTTGCTCTGTATTGTAGCATTCCATTACCATGGTTACGCATCTATAGACATCTTACCTTGGAATCTTAAATCATTTGTAGCTTTGTCATTATTTTGTCTATAGAAATGATATTGGTATCAAATTAAATCTAAATAAATTTCCCATAGAATTATAATATTCAATTATGCAAATTAGCTCATTTGCATAAATTGTGACGTCATGAATCTATTTTTGGTTCAGAATTCTCAAGTATAGCAATGTATCTTTAAGAACTGAAGCCGTACGGTAAAATTTCTTCAATGTTTTGACTTTTATTCTATGAGCAGAAGGTTTAAGCAACATAAAAGTGAAAACAGATTCAAAATTTGATCAGAACTAACAAAGTTATTAAGCTTTCTAGGCGGCTACTATGAACGTTATCACTGAACAATTAACTTTAAACATCTTACCTAAGAATTGATATGTTTGGTAGCTTTGTCATTATTTGGTCTATTAAAAGGAGATCTTGGTATTGAATTGATCCTAATTGAATTATCGGTATGGAAACGATATTCAATTATGCAAATTAGCTAGTTTGCATAAATTATGATGTCATCAACCTATCTTTGGATCAGAACTTCCAAGTATAGCAACATATTTATTAGATCCAAGGTTGTATGGCGTAGTTTCTGCATAGCTTGTCATTTATTCTATGAGTGGAAGAGGTGTGAGCAACATAAAAATGATTCAAAATTGAATTAGTATTAGCTAAGTAATTCAGCTTTTGAGGCAGCTACTATGAATGTTACTATTTGACAATCAAAAATAAAACACTGAAATAGCAAAAATGAAACAAAGCTGATTCAAGCTTATCGAGTGAAATCTATATATTTTCCATGTCACTGAATTAGTTGGTGTATAGAAATGATACAAGTATTTATAATTTTGACTATCATTGATAGGGGTCAAAACAGTTTTTTTTATTTTGTAACATGATTTATTGTTTGTGAGAAAGTTATGGATTAATCAGTTAGTGAATGGGTGAATGGTATTGTGAAATCTGTTATGTAATCTATAAATTTTTAAACTGATTTGCTTCATAGGCGTCAATCTATTTAAAGAGATGAAACATCATGCCTGGTCAAACATCAATATTTGTTCTGCGATTCAAGCAGTGAACATCTACATGAATTTTTAAACATTATATTATATTATTATAGATTATATCATTGCTGTTTTTCATGTCACCACCAAAAGCGGTGACACATTGTTATGATGATGACTGCTGATGACGTTGCGCCATTCTAACACCTAACTGATTTTACCATACCATATGCTTTTTGAAGAAATAAATCTTATTTGTTGAATTTTCTAGCAGAAATCGGCTCCCCTTCACTCATTTTGTCAGATTACTGGCAGTGACATGAAAGATACAATTTTTATTTTCTAGGGTGTCTCAAAAATGTACCCAAAGGTATATCAACAGCAAAGATAAATCAATCAATATTTTCAGATATTTTTTGCATGGTCATTTAGGAAAAGCATGTAAGTTTTCTCTCCAATACTAACTTTTTAGTTCAGTCTTGCCTTTTTGATGCTTTTTAACCCTTTTTATACCATGTGTTTAATTTAACCTCCTTACATTTTGATATGAGCCTGCATCCTTACTGCTACATTGTTTATCATATATGATAATGTTTTTGGTGGAATGTTTTGAATTTCCTTTCACATGTTGATCTCAAGTTGTTCTATGTCTCTAGGCTTGGGATAAGCATAAACATGGTTCTTGAAGTCATCCCAGAGAAAATGTGTGGGGTGTCAAATCTGTTGAATAGGGAGGCCCTCACAATGTCTATATGCAGAGAGAAGAAACTCCTTTTAAGGGAATTTTTGTGTGGCCATTGCTGTACATGAAGGGGCTCAAACTGTGTTCTCATTTGGATTTCATTCAGTCTCCGTAACTCTGGCAGATGGAACTCCATTATCCACTAAATCATTTGACGATAATTGACCTGGTTCTCTGTGATTGTTCTGCCATCTTCAACCTTGGAACTTCTTTCTCTAGGGCTATTTGAAGGAACATGTTAAGCTAATCCCAACCCAAAAGACCTAAAACAACATAAGGCCAACACCCAAAGAGAAATTCAAAACATTCCACCTGAAACATTATCAAATGTGATGAACAATGTAGCATAAGGAAAAAGGCTTTCATTGAAATATGAAGTAAAAAGTAAAGGGTTAGATCATCAAAAAGGCAAGACTGAACTAAAAACTTTGTATCAGGAAGGAAACGTACATGCTTCAGCAACATGACCATGCAAAAATGTCTGAAAATATTGATTGGTTTAACTGTGCCGTTTATATACTTTTAGGTACATTTTTTGAGACACCTTGTATTATTTATCATACCAACCTATCATAGTTCATAGATACCATTGCATTTTTATATTAAGTGTTAATGAAGCGTAGAAATGAATAGTGAGGGCTTTAACCCGAAAGTTTCTACATCCATATGACACTGATTTAACGTCATCAGTGTGACATTGATATCCGCGTTAAAATCAACTATATGGCATTCATTCATGTTATAACCATCTACATGTACAGGGCGTTCAATAAGTATTGCTAATTTTGCTATAACTTTTGTTCTGTTTGCTTTTTCTTCATGGAACTTTCACACCATAAGGTACATATATCTGACTTTGACCAATAAAAATTTAAAAGTAAATTGACTTAGTATTAGTAAAGTTATGGTTACTAAGGTAACCAGTGTCATGGATATGCGGGGCAAAGTTCTGACGTCACTCTGGACAACATTTTCAGTATTGAAAGCAGTATCATGTAATGCTCTTGGGATATTCAGTGCAGTTACAAATAATCCATTCCAGAGTCACTTCATGATCCATTTTCACTTTATGAGGAGCTCAAAAGAGGCACCCTCAGCGTCAATGCACAGTTGCTGTCTGGGGACCCACTCGTGGTACACATTTTGAAGCCACCCTTGAAGCGTGTGGCTAGGGAGGTTTTCACTGCAGACATCAGTTGATTGAGATTCTGGTGTGATATTCCTCTCAGATCTCTTTTCACTGGGGCGAATACAGCAAAATCAAGTGGGACACTATATGGGGAATATGCTGCGTGGGGCAATGCTTCCATCCCAAGCTCTGTTATTGTATTTTGGACAATAGAGGATCTGTGAGCAGGCCATTATCTTGGTGGAACCTACTGACCTATAGGTCGATATTGCTTGGCAGGACAGCCTTTCTATCAGCCATTTTGTTTCAAGGGGGTATGACATCATCATGCGACTATCATCTACTCCTTTGATAATTAATGTACTATACTTATTATGATGTCATAGCTCTTTGTTATATAATTCAAACTGACAACATCAAGATTTGACTTATATGAGCAGTTTTTATTAATCAAAGGGTTTATTTGATGTATAGCAATAATTTATCATGTAAACCCTTAAGGTTGTCCTGCGTACCCGTGCCAATGGTTACTATAGTAACCATAACTTTGCCAATACTAAGTTGGTTGCCCAGAAATTTGGATAGGATAAGGTCATGTATGTGTGTCATGGGTTGTTCAAGTTTCATGAAGAAAAAAGCAAGATAACAAAAGTTATTACAAAACCAGAACAACGGCAACGCCAAAGCGTAGCAAATCCCATCGAACAGAAATGGCTGGTATTTTTACAAACGAATAGCACTATATCATAAAACAACACACCAGAAAGGCCACCATTTTCAAAATGGTTGCTCACTAGCCAAGTTGTCATCAGAAGAAATAATATGGTTTTAAGTAGCCACCTCTAAAATTTTTGAAAAATCGCACACGTACTTGTAAAATAACACACATAAAAATGGTGGCCATTTTTCAAAATGGCCGACTACTCCCCAAAGTTTTATTAGACAATGTGCCATGCTTAAAGTATTCACATATCAAATATGAACCAAATCGCTCCACTACTTTTCGAGTTATAGTAAAATACGTTAAAATGGCGGCCATTTTTCAAAATGGCCACTGTCTACCAAAAGTGTCATTAGAAATAGACAGTGTGCCATGCTTATAGTATTCACTTACCAAATATGAACA